ACATCTTTCCTGTTGTCCCCACTCTGTGCCCGAGGTAGGCCGGCACTCTGCCCAGTGGCTGGCCTGGTGTGCTGAGCCCTGGCTAAGACGGGCTGCAGGCCTCGCAGGGCCAGCACAGTGGGTCCTCACTAACACTGTCATGCATGCTGCAACTTTAAATGAAATGACATATAAGGAAACCAGTTTCACCACAGGCTGATGGGCGTAAACGGGAGTTAAGTCCCCACAGCAGCTCACCAATCTCAGGACCTGCTGTGCTGTGAGCTGTGAGGTCGGAGCCCCCAGTCCCTGCCCCTCCAGCATGGAAGTGGTCCCCTCAGGTGAGGCCGCCCCGTCAACTCTGGTGCCCGAGGGACACCGGGAGCTGCTGACCACGATGTGGCCAGAATGAGCGGAAATAATCCTTTGTTGTTTTGAGCCATGGACACGTTAGGGTTGTTTGTTACTCCAGCATTACTATCCCAAGTGATTCAGGGCAGAAAGAGCAAACAATGAGAGAGACCCCCTCATCACTGGTGGTGAAGTCACGCTGTGGCCTGAGGAGCAGGAGGAACTCGGCTCCCTGTGCCGGCTTTAAAACACACACGCGGGAACCAGCCAGGTGAGAAGGGTGAGGCCGCCTTCCCTCACACAGAGGAGTGTTCGGTCCTCAAGGCAAACTGAGCGCTGTCCCAACCTCCTGGCTTGGGAGCAGAATAGGCCTGATGTTGTTGGCTGAACGGTGTCCTCCAAAAAGATACATTCAAGTCCTAGCATCTGGTGCTTGGAAATAGGTTTTTGCAGATGCAATTAGTTAGATGAAAATGAGCTCCTACTAGGTTAGGGTGGGCCTTAAGCCAACGACCAGCATCCTTAGAGGGAAAGAAAGCTGAAGACGAAGGCAGCGACTGCATTATGCTGCACAGCCGAGAAATGCCAAGGATTGCCAGGAATCACCAGAAGCCGGAAGGGCAGGAAGGACCCTCCCACACCGTGAGCTGACTTCTGGCCTCCAGACTGTGAAAGACATTTGTGGCTTTTAGGCTCCTAATTGGTGGTACTGTTACAGCAGCCCCAGGGAACTAAGGTGCCCTGTACCCCAGTCTCCCTTCCAGAACATCTGTCGAAGGTAAAGGGTCAATCAGCATGTTTCATGAAGATTCCCTGACTGTGGGGATAAGGAAGGATTGGACCGGAGGACTGGGGACAGAATGGGAGCCACTCCCGCAGTCACTGCTGAACAAAGGGTCAATCAGCATGTTTCATGAAGATTCCCTGACTGTGGGGACAAGGAAGGATTAGCCGTCTTAGCCAGGGCTCAGCACACCAGGCCAGCCACTGGGCACCCAAATTTGTTCAGGACTGGGGACAGAATGGGAGCCACTCCTCGCTCAGGCTCTGCAGGGTCCAGATTCCCGCTGTCCTCCCCTCACCCTCTCTGTTCAGCTTTAAGAGGCTGCCTCAGGGCTCACACACCTGTCAGCTGTACCCTTCAGAGCACTGGTGTCACAAATGGCTAAACATGAACATCTGCCCCCTGCTCACTCAGAAACACCAGACCACGCACCCTGCCAGTTACTCTCCAGTTGACACAACCTGACCCACCACTGCCAAGACCCTCCGTGACTTCCTCTAGTCTCAAAGTTCCCTAATTCTTTCCCCGAGGCTCCCCTGCTGAGATGTCCCAGGACCTGAAATGCCATCTCTCTCTGGCTGCAGCAAGCAATAAACCTGGCTCTGTTGCCTGCAGGTGGGGTCCAAGGCCCAGCTCGAGCAACCAGCGGTCCCCACCATGGTCCCTGGGCCCGCTGCTGGGTGATGGGACACTGTGAGGTGTGTGCTAGGTGACGGGACTTGGAAATGAGAAAGGAGGAGGTTCTCCTTCTCCTCCTTCTTCTTCTCCTCCTTCTTCTCAATCCTCACCCAAGGATATTTTTCCCCATTAATTTTTAGAGAGAGTGGAAGGGAGGGGGAGAGACCGAGAGAGAGAAACATCAATGTGAGAGAGACACGCCAATTGGTTGCCTCCTGCACGTGCCCTGACCTGGGGCCAGGGATTGAGCCTGTCACCGAGGGGCATGCTCTTGGTCAGAATCGAACCTGAGAGCTCTCAGTCCGTGAGCCGACGCTCTAACCACCACACAACCGGCTAGGGCTCTCAGTTCTCTCTTACCTCCTCTCCTTTGCTTCCACCCACGTCTGGGCGATTCTTGAATTACTTGAGCAGAATGACACACATTCCCATCTGTGCTGTTTCCTTGTTTGGCCTCTACCACTGCAAGGCTTCAACGTTAAAAAGTCCTTTTCATTCTTTCACCCGAGGCCCACCATTTTCCATATGGCCGGAGGAACAGAGCAGCTCCCCTTTAATATTGAATACCTGAATGATTTCATGACAACCGAGTGAGGGCCTGCCATGTGCTCGATCCTCGCAGGGACACAGCCTTGAACGAGACAGAATGTCCTTGTGCTGTTTCCAGTGAGGGAGGGCAACATGCGAGAGGGGCGTAGGGCTGCTGAGCCCAGGAGAGGGAGGGAGAGGGTCCTTGCCTGATGTTCGTGACAGCTGCCCAACAGCAGAGGACGGGGGTGAGGCCTGGAGGCCAACATGCGACTGGGCTGTGGGCACCTGCTGTCCTGAAGCCCCATTTCCCAATCCTGTGACTTGGCCCTGCTGATCTGTGGGTGGCCCAGGAGGCCCTGTCATGGTCCTGCATGTAGCCACACGGCCTCCTTACAGCGACAGTGTTCTTGCAGAGACATCACCGGGCACCAGCAGTGTCTTCCCGGCTGAGTATCTCCCAGGTCTCCCCATTCCTCACAGGCTCCCCGTTCCCTGTCTTGCCTTGTGGCCCCCAGATGGAGGGTCCTGCACATCCCACTTTAAAAGTCAAGGTCACTCCCCCCAACCCCTTTCCTTTTCCTGGTACAAATCTAGCTGTAGGATGTGTCCCAAAGAACACAGGGCCTGCAGAACTGCTGGCAGCCAGAGCCACGGGCCGGGAGGCGGGCCTCGGCCCCATCACCTCCCCAGCTCCTGAGAACACAGAACCCTTCACGGCAGCACAAGGACAGGCATTCAGCCCCCGAGACAATCAGGAATTCACTGGGACCAGGTTTGCCTCCGTCGTGGACTGAAATGGCTGTTTTATGTGCGTTTGGCTGAAATAAGGGGCACTTCTGTTGACTCGGGCTTACCTAACTAAGTTCAGCTGCAGGGGGAAGTTTAGGTTGGCGCCCAGTCCGCAGGCACATGGAAAGCTGAAAGGAGCTGGTGTGTCAGCAGCCGTGGGGCTGAATCACAAATTTGTTCAGGAAGTCCAAGATTAAAGTCCAGTTTATATCATTATATAACAGAGAGACCCGCCAAGCAACATATCCAGGCAAATAAATTTGAAATATTTTTTAATGCAGCTGGCATACAAAACTCATTTAAGACTTAATGTGAGTGATAAATAAGGCCACTTCTGTGGAACCTCTTAAGAAGGTAGTTTAAAAGTTTGGAGCTGAGTGTCCCCAAACCCCAGAGCAAGGAGCATCCTGCCAGGAGGATGCACCCCGCCAGCCAGGCAGGCAGTGGGCTGAGAGAAAGGACCCCAGGATGGCACCCGTCCGTCTCCCTACCAGCCACAGCAAATGTTTCCAAAGTGCGGATATAAATTTAGAAGAGAAGGTATTGCGATGTGAAACAATACCTCGAGTGCGCCAGGTTTCCGCTCCTGGGCCAGTGCCTGAGGCTCTCTGAAAATGCACTTCACAAATCACGGGAGCACTCTGGCAAGAACGGCTACAGCCATTTTTTCAAACTCTGGGAATTAAGTTCAAACAGATGAATTCAAAGAGAATTTACTCAAGAAAAACAGCTGAGTCGTAGTAAATGCCTGGTGGCCATGACTTGCCCCAATCTCACCCCCCTCCCCAGCTCACAACGACAGTAACTGTCAAAGCCAGCACCCAGGGGTCACCAGTGAGTGGGACAGGTTTGGAGCTCCTCAAAAGTCCCCAAAAGATTGCACTTTAAAAATTCCTCACCTGAGGGTATTTTTCCTTTTTTTTTTGAGAGTGGGAGTTGGAGAGAGAAACATTCATGCGAGAGAGACACATCCATTGGTTGCCTCCTGCACCTGCCCCAACCAGGGCTGGGATAGAACCTGCAACCCAGGTATGTGCCCTTGACTGTGAATCGAACCGCGTGAGTCACTCGGCCAGGGCCCAGTCACTTTGGATCTATGGGACAGCTCACAAGAAGCTATATTCTCAAGGCATCTTCATCTGAACAGACTGTCGCTATTAAAAACCTTCTGGGCTCCTTAGGGAAATGGCTGATTTGAGGGCTGAGGTGGGAATGTACAAAGTGAACCGGAGCTCCTCAGGCAAGTCCATCCAGCTAGCTGGCAGAATTCAGTAACATGAAGACTGAAGTTCCCAGGGCTCGCCCAGCAGGGCAGCTTCCAGGCTGGCAGGCCCTCCCTCTGCTTCTCGTCTTTGATTTCAGGAGGTGCCCAGTGTCTTTTAAAGGTTCATCTGATCAATTGAGACCCACCCAGGAACATCTCCTTTTTCTTAAACTCAAAACCAACTGACCCAAGACCTTAATTAAATCAAAGGTAGAACTGCTTCACCTTTATCTGTATCATAAACTAGTCCTAGGAGCGAAATCCCTCACACTCACAGAAATGCCCACTCAGAGGGTTCGAGTCACCAGGCAAGTCTTGGGAGCCATCTGAGAATTCTGCCTTCCACAGCCTGGCTGGGTGGCTCAGCTGGTTGGGGCATCATCCTGCTACCCCAAGGTTACAGGTTTGGTCCCCAGTCAGGGCACATACAAGAATCAACCAATGAATGCATAAAAAAGTGGAACAATAAGTCATTGGCTCTCTCTCTCTCCCCGCTTCCTCTAGCTCTCTACAAAAAAAATAAAAAAATAAAAAATAAATCTACCTATCAATCAATCAAGAACTCTGCCTACACAAAGGGGGCAGGGGAAGTGACAGAAACCAGTCTTTCATAAAAAACCTCTTTGTTTTCATAATTTATTAATCCAAAATAAATTTCATAACAAATTTTATTTCACAGTAAACTTTTGACTATATACATGTACAACTTCAGTTTAAAATTACATTCAAATCTAAACATGTCACCAACTTAACAAGAGCCATTATTCATGTACTAATAAAAATAAGCTGACAATTAAAATGTGACATTATACCAACTGAAAAAGACACTCCAACCTTAGAGATGTTAACTACAAACACGTACCTCAGAATTAGTGACATAATAACCAAAAATGTTTACTTCCCCCACATTTTTAAATGATGTAAAGGAGTGTTGCACATTTCACAGGAACCAACACCACTTTGAGGTGAGCTGGGCAGCTTGTCCCTCCCTAGTCAACATGCACATTCTCTCCTCTCCTCTCAGCCCTCTAAATAGGTCCTTTCCTTGCGGATGTCTTGTTTCCTCCTTTCTCACACCGGCTTCGTGCTGTGTGCTGTCAACAGGAGCCGAGGCAGTGAACGCGGCCTTCGGTGGAGAGGGGTGAGCAGAAAGGTGGACTCGGACAATGAATGTAGGTTTGATTCTTGGCTCATATTTATCACCTTGCCTTTGGCTGCAGATAACAGAGAACTCAAATCAAAATGGCGCAAACAGTAAAGAATAAAAAGAAATTGTACATATATAATTTCACGTGGTATATGTAACATGCAGGCTGAAGGCCGGCTCTCTCCTCGCTAAGGCTGCTGAATTCCATGGCTCAGCTACCGAGGACCAGCTTCTTCCCAGGTTTCTCCTGTCAACCTCAGCTGGTTGGCTAGCTCCCCCTGAAGTCCTGAGACAGCTGCATCCGCTCTGGGTGTCATATTCAGACATGGCAACGTCTGGCCTCTTCCTGTGTATCTCAAGAGATGATCACTTTCCCAGCAGTGTACCAGAGGATCTGTATCCCTATTTCAAGCCTGAACCAACTGCTGGCAAAGAGTGGCACTTCTAATATTTGTTGAGGCCAGTGTTTTTCAACCTTGGCCGTGCTGCAGAATCACCTGGAAGCTACTGAAAATCTCATGTTCGCACCCCAGCCCCCAACCCCGAATCAGAATTTCTGGGAGTGGGCCCCAGGCACCATATCTTTTATAAAGCTTCCTAGCTGATCCCAATGTGACGCCAAGGTGGAAATCACAACTCTAGACCCTTGTTGCTACACCCTAAGGGTTGGGGCCAGGGCCCGTCATGCACAATGCACAGATCAGTCATGGACAAGAAGGGACACCTCAGCGAAACTGGAATTCTGTTAGGAAGGGAGGCACACATGCGTGATGTTCACAACTAAGGTCAGGAGATAGGTGGCCTTCTTACAGACACAGCTTCCTCATCTGTGCATAGCAAAGCTGGATTTCACCCCATAATCCCCGTGATGGAGCTGTGACAGGTATTAAGGAGGACTTCGTGTGTATGATCCGAGCATTTCTTCAGTAGGTGCTTACCCTGAGATACTCTGATCCCACTAAACCCCAGTGTGGTGTTGGTGCTTCTAACCGGCAGTCTGAGCCCCTATTATTCAGACCAGATCACCCAATCACAGCATTTTGACCTCTACAAGCAATTTTGTAAGAAGTCCATAACCATAACCTCCTAATGGTTATGCTTATCAGAAACTAGTCAGTGAACCGAGACAACTGTGCAGGAAGTGAGGGACAAGTCACTTAACATCTCTGGTCAGAATTCCTTCAGTTCTACAACTGGATCAAGTCAAAACACCAAAAAGCTACATACTTGATTCATCTTACAAACTGACAAAAAGTTGAGTTTTACTGTTGTGGCATTTAGTAAGTGACCACAAAAATTTATATGAAACCTGTCACACAGGATCTTAGAAATTAAAATGCTGTCCATTCTATTCAATGAATTCCATAATGAAGACCTACATAAGAGCTGTTTTTACGAAATTACAATTAGGAGAGGGTTTGCATCTACCTTTCTGATAATAAAAGATAAATAGATAAACTACTCATCCTTTTTGTCTTGACTCTAAAAAAGAGCAGATATAAATTTAATACAGCCATGATAACCATGCTGGCCACACACGTGTAAATCCATATACAGCTTTTCCCTTTCAGCTTTCTTATATTTCCTATGGTCCTCATTCTTTAACCAACTATGGTTTCATTATACATGGGCTTGTTTGGAGCTGCAGGGGTCAGTGAGATTTAGTTCCCAGGAGGAAACCAAGGGGAGCAGAGTGGAGCAAACGGCAGCAGGAACTAAAGCTCGGTAGGCTGAGATGGCGAGACTACAGAGAACGTAAAACCAGGCAGACAAGCAGCTCCCGACTCAGGGCACTACACAGTGAAGGCGCAGGTGAAGCAGTGCGCTGGGAAATCTGCCCTCTAAGGAAAAGAAAGTGGAAATGGAGGCAGATCGGCTGGAAAGGGCTGCAATAACACAGCTATAAGAAAAGCTAAGAATTACATGATGGTCAAATGAATATTAAAAATATATGCAAGAGTAAAAATATGGTGATAGATGGAGATTTGACTTTGGGTGTTAAACACACAATGCAATATAAAGATGAGGTATTATAGGGTTATACACCTGAAACCTACATAATTTTATTAACCAATGTCATCTCAATAAATTTAATTTTAAAATGAAAGTATTAGAAAAAAATTTTAAATAAAATAAGTTTTCTGTAAAACAAACAAATAAATAAATGCAAACAAATTTCCAGTTGCAATGCAGAATCTGAAACCACATCAAGGAATGATCTAACCACTGATCTACACTGTTACATGAAAATACATTAGTCTGTACTACAGGTTGGATGGGTGTTTTGCCCATGAATACTTTTGTGATGTCATGCATTGCTTATTTGGAAAATGTTAGTTTACTAAATTTATGCAGATCTTTCAAATGTTTTACTATACAGTCTTTTAAAAATCACATTCTTTAACATCACCAACCAACTTCACCAAAAGAATGTTTAAGTACAGAAAAGCTTTCAAGCTCAGAGGCAGATAAAATGTTCTGATATTATCCTTTGTGCTCAAAAGCCAGAATTTTACCATTGAAAACAAGTATTTTCCGTTGTTTTCCTTGAAGTGACAGGGTCACTCCATTCATTTGTGGAAAAGCGCCTGCCAAACCGCCACATCTGAAGAAACCAGTTGGCCCCCACAGTTGTTCTTTGAAGTAAAGAGTATTCATAAAGACACGCAGCCGATCCAGCTTGAACTCAGATAATAGCACAAGTGCTCTTCCTCAAAATGCCACTTAGTGTGGAAATGTAAATGCGTGATAATATCTTTCCATTTTGCTAGACGTGATGATGAAAGACGAGAACCCAAGAACTGAAGTTTAACAGCATGAATACCTTTTACCGCCTCATCCAGGGCATCCATAAATGAAACTGGCGCCGGATGCAGACGTTTTCAGAGAACCCTCTTCAACTTTTAGAAACTAGACAGTCCCACTGTCTAGTTTCTAGTGGAAATGCCTCTTCTGTTTGCCCATTAAGTACGACACTGACTTTCTTACTAAGTGTAGCATTATATCATGTTAAGAAAACATCCATCCAATGATCTCATATGTAGAATATTTACTTAAAGATTCCACAGAAAAGTTAGAATAAACAAATTCAACAAAATAGAATACACAGTCAACAAACAAATATCTGTAACATTTCTATACAATGATGGTAAACAATCTGAAAAGGAAATTAAGAAAATAATTCCATTTACTATATCTCAAAAGAATTAAAATACTTAGGAATTAACTTGACCAAAAGGGGAAAAGCTGTACAGTGAAAACTCTGAAACACTGCTGAAAGAATTTAAAGAAGAAATAAAAAATGGAAAGATCCCCGGTTCATGTGTTAAAAGACTTAATATTATTAAGTTGTCAATATTATACAGTGACCTACAGATTCAATGTAATCCCTACCAAAATCACAATGACACTTTTTTTTTTGCAGAGAGAGAGAAATCTACCCTAAAATTTGTATGAAATCTTAAGGGGTCCAAATTAGCCAAAACAAAATTGAAAAAGAACAAAGACCAATGGAATAGAATACAGAGCCTAGAAATAAACTCTCACATATTTCAACAAGAAGCCAAGATCATTCAATGAGGAAAGGACAGTGCTTTCAACAAATGGTGCTGGGAAAACTGGATATCCATATGCAAAACAATGAGGTTTTGGCCCTTACCTAATACCATATACAAAATTAACAAAAAATGGATCGAAGACCTAGACATAAGAGCTAGAGCTACAAAACTCTTACAAGAAAATATAAGATAAAAGCCTAATGACACTGGATTTGCAGTGATTTCTTAAATATGACACCAAAGGCACAGAAAGTAAAAACAAATTGGTCTTCATAAAAATTTTTAAATCTTATGCATCAAAGGACACTATCAACAGAATGAAGAGGCAACCCACAGAATGGGAGAAAATATTTGCAAATGATATATATCATAAGTGATTAATATCTAATATCCAGAATATAGAGAATTCCTAAAACTTAACTATAAAAACAAACACCCAATTCAAAATTGGGCAAAGAACTTCAATAGACATTTCTCTGAAGAAGATAAACACATGGCCAAAAAGCACATGAAAAGATGCTCAACATCACTGACCATTAAGGAAATGCCAATAAAAACTACAAGATACCACCTCCAAAAAACAAAAACAAACAAAAAAAATAATGTTGGTGTGGATATGGAGAAATTGGAATCCTGTGTACTCCTGCTGGGAATGTGAAGTGGTACAGCTGCTGGGGAAAACAGTATGGTGGTTCCTCAAAAAATTAAAAATAGAATTACCATATGATCTAGCAATTCTACTTCTGGATATATATTCAGAATTGAAAATATGGTTTCAAAAGATATTTGTATGCCCATGTCCATAACAGCATCATCCACAATAGTTAAAACATGAAAGCAACTCAAGTGACCATCAACAGATGAATGGATGAGTAAAATGTGGTATAAACATACAATGGAATATTATTCAGCCTTACCATTAAATAAAGTAAATGATTAGCTGCACTTCTTCCTTTCTCCCTACAGCCATAGCCACACTCTTTTTTGTGTAATATAGCAGCTCCTCCCACACAGAAAGTATAAGAAAAAAGAATGTACTTCCTACTCCTTGACTTTGGAGTTGGACATGTGACTGACTTTGGCCAACGGTTGTATGTAAATGTGATGCAAACAGGATCTCTTGAGCTGCTAGGAAAAGAACATGCCCAGCCAGCCTACTGGTCCCAGGAAGACAAATGTGAGGCAGAGCCATCCCAGTGGACCTGCTACGTAAGCAGAGCCGACACAACCATCTGCAGCTACAGGAAAAAGAACTTTTTATTTTTACCTGGTATGGAGAGTTTGTGGTAGTTTGTTAACATCATTATTGTGGCAAATGTTAACTGATATAATTTCAGTTCAAGGAATCTATTTATATAAAAACCCTTGGTGTAACATCACGACCACGACCGAGGCTCAACCAACCGGAAGGAAGTCAGTCCTGCAGGGGTTGTCTTGGCAACGGCTGTGCCCTCCCAGAGCTGTTTCCGGTAAGGGCGAGGTTTGAAGCAGGAACCTGCCCTCGGAGCGTGAAGGCAGATCTTTACAAAGTTTTAATACATTATATTAGAGGTCGTGGTGGTACTGTTTTACCCACAGCATCTACAGGAATTGCTGCAAATTTACTTCTCGGTGGAAGCACCTTTCATTCCCAATATAAATTACCCACTCCACTAAACGAAACTTCAATTTCTAGA